CCATGACAGACGACCAGCAGATGGTTAGTAAACTCTCACTTGGCCCAGTTGCCTAATGACTATTTCTTTGAAGTGTTCTTTCTCCAGTTAGAAATTGATGCTTCACCTATTGTTCAGTCATTAGAGTATAGTCACTACTTTATTGTTTTTCTTTCCAGTCCAAAAACTAGAAACAATAAAAACCAAATGGTTGTGATTCTTTACAGCGGCGTTTCTCACTCAGGAAGTGTTCATTACTGTATCACCTTGACAAGCATCTTTAATGTTTGCTATATATACCCGATTTGGTGCATACAAAGCACCTCTAAATACAACATTCATTCCCTTACTGTAGTTACTAATTTTAGTTTTTTGCTTGTATAAAATCATATTGTGACAGATATGTATATAACTTAGTTTTTAATTTTTTTTTTCCTGTCCTGAGACAAGGTTCCCAAGCTAGCTGGAACTCTGTATAAACCAGGCTGGCCTTGAACTTGAGCTTGGAGGCCTTTTTCCTGTGTCTCTGGTATAGGTTATAGCTGTGTGCCACCATGCCCAGGTTAGGTTCTTTAACCTTTTAACCTTTTTATTATGAAAACATATATAGAAGCAGAGAACTTTTTTTTGTTTTGTTTTTTTTTTTTTTTTAGTAAAAAAGATGTTTTTGAGACAGTTTCATGTAATTCAGGCTAGCCTCAGACTTACTTTGTATGTAAGATGGCCTTGAGTCTATCCTCTTGCCTCCTCCTAAGTGCTGGGATGGAGGTCACATGTCACCATGCTTAATTTTAGGTGGTTCTGGGGATCAAATTTAGGGTATTGTATGTGCTAGACAAGCACCCTCCAACTAAGCTGCATCACCATGCCTTTTAAATAAAGCTTTGTTTTGTTTTGTTTTTTTCTCAACCCTCAGGGGTTGAGGCCTGAAAGGGCATTCTCTATTAGACAGAAGGCTGGGTTTACTATTGTTCTTGATGCGTCAGGTGGTGAGCTTTGTCATCGTAAAAACTTGGACAGTTCAACTCAGTATGCTCCTCCTTCAACTTTACATCATGATTTTTTCTTTATAGCAAAAAAAAATAAGGAATATATACTATAGGTCCCCAATGAGCTAATTTTACTTGTTTGATTTTGAATAATGGAACATAATATTGAGTGAAAAAAATCATTTACAACTTAATTTTGAATACAGAAGTCAATTCCATGCATTGTTTATGTGTATACTTGTTAAAACATGTAGGAAAAATATGCAAACATGCCTGAAAGTGATACACTTGGTGCTCCAAGAGAAGAGATGCCAGCAGAGGTGATGGGTTTATTAGGATTGGGAGGAGTGCAGAGAGGTCATTGACTGGTTATAGTACTCTTTTTGTAAAAAATAAAATAAAAGTCAGGCTGATGAGGTGAAAGTTGACTTAAATTTTTTTTTTTTAAATACGAGTTTCTCATGATTGCTCAAGAGGTAATGAGTGGTACTTGCTCCCGTGCCTGACGACCTGGGTTCAGTCCCTTATAGCCACATGGGGGAGGGGAGAGCTGATGCCCAAAAGTTGTCCTCTGACCTCCACATTTGTGCCAAGCATGCATCCCCCACGTAAATAAACAAACAAATAAGCAAATAAATACAATTTTTAAAAATTGCTAAGATATAAGCAATGGGGCTAGAAAATAGCTCAGTGGTTAAGAGCACTGGCTGCTCTTCCAGATGACCTGGGCTTGAGTCCCACAGCCCATATGGCAGCTCACAACCTTTTGTAAGTCCAGTTCTTGGGGTTCCAAAATCTTCTTGGCTCCATGGGCACCAGGCACATAGTGGTATACAGGCAGACATACATGCAAAGTGCCCATAGACATAAAATATTTAGATTAAAAAAAAAGCTGTGCAGTGGTGGCACGTGCCTTTAATCCTAGCTCTCTGGAGGCAGAGGTAGGCAGAGCTCTGAGTTCGAGGCCAGTCTAGTCTACTAAGTGAGTTCCAGGATATCCAGAGCTACACTGAGAAACCTTGTCTCAAAAACAAAAAATAAAAAACAAAGATACAAGCCAGGAGTCCATACATTTGATTTCAGCACTTGGGAGGTAGAGACAGAAAGATATGTTTCACACCATCTTTAAGTTACCTAACTTGTTCAAGGCTAGCCTGAGCTACATGAGCTGCTGAATCAAAAACAAAACTTTCATCTATAGGCGGTGTTTTATTTTTCTGTGTGTTGAAATATCTTATGTAAAAATTGTGGAAGTTAGGGAAATAACATTTCTGAGTCAGGGAGAAAAATACGTCAATATTAGAAGCAAAGTTGCTGTTAGGCTAGAACTAATGAGTAGATATTTGTGAATCAGAATTAGAAATTGGTCAAGAGTGCATGTATATGTATGTGTATTTATCTGGATACATATGGTTCTTATTTGAAATGTTTTATATGAGGCAGATGTTCATGAATAGGTACTTAAATGTGAAATTTGCTTTCTTTTTAAAGGGGAAAAACAAGCAGCTACTCATATAAGTCTTGATCAAGAATATGACTCTGAGTCGTCACAGCAGTGGCGAGAACTTGAGGAGCATGTTGTGGCTGTGGCTAATAAAGGAGTAATTCCATCCAGTTTCTACCCCACACAGTATTGCTTGAACAGTTACTCGGATAACTCCAGATTCCCACTTGCAGTTGTGGAAGGTGGTATAATTGAATTTAGAAATATTTCACGTGTATGAATGTTTTGCCTACATGTGTATATGTACCACATGCATGCTTAGTGCTCCTGGAGGAGGGTAGAGGGAGATTATGGATCTCTTGGAATTGGAGTTAGAGAAGGTTGGGAGCTGCCTTTTGGGTTCTCTGCAAGACCAGCAAGTGATCTTAACCACTGAGCCATCTCTCCAGCCCAATACTTGAGTTGTATATTCATAACTTTTTGTCTGCTTGGAGCAAGTTCCAGGTAGTTTATGATCTGCCACATTACTGGAGGCCATGGGCACAAAGATAACTCACTACGTACTGAGCTGCATTTGTAGCCAAATGTTGGGGCTCTAATGTTCTTGTGGTGCTGGAGTACCAAGAAGGTGACATTAGGGACACATAAGTCATTTCTTCCCAAACTGAGTTGTATAAGGTAACAAAAGACACTCTAGGCAAAAAACACAGAAGATGTGTTGAGAGACAGTGTCAGGATTATGAAATTATTAAATGTAGGCTTTTCTTTTGTAGAGCCAATTACAGTGGAAGTGGCTTTTAGAAACCCTTTGAAAGTTCCACTTTTGCTGTCCGATTTGTCATTGCTCTGGAAGTTTCAGCCTAAAGATGTCAATGGGAAAGACATTGAAACAGTTAGAGAACAAGTAAGTTACTAGCAGGTATCTGTGTGTGTGTGCCTCAGCTACAGCATGACAGTCTCCTGCTGTTTTACTTTTTTTTTTCTACTTAGTTATAAAATTCACATGTGCTTTCTCTTGAAATGTAAGAAAACAATAAAACAAGATCTTAACTACCATACTGCTGTTTAGAAACACTTACAGTAACATTTTGCTGTTAATTTTTACATTGATTTTTCATTTGTATGTGTTTTGCTCATGCTTTGTATTTCCTTCTACTATTCACTTATGTTGTTTGATGTGTTTTCTGGTGTTAAAATGTCTAGTATTTCATTTTTGTGTAAACTGTTATGAATGATTCATAGACTTTTACTGTCATTTACTAGTTGGTTTGAAGATTTCCATGTTGACTATCACAATAATTCTATGGTGCATTTTTAAATTAAAGTTGTGGTAGAATTTTGGGTTAAACCTATGACTGATGATGGTATGTTTGGCAAGCCACACCCACATATCCTATGGCATTTTTGTGCATAGCTTTTAAGTAGTTATTTTGGCCATTGTTAACTGTGAGCAGTTGAACTTTTTTTGGGGTCTTGTCCTCTTGATGATTGCATGTTTGATCGATCACTTATTCACTGTAGTTGAGTCAGGATGAACAAAATGAAAAATATACATCAAGTGCCTTCTGTAGATAGGCTGTACTGTGGGAGTGGAAAACACGTTGCACAGAGCTTAACTTAGAGGGACTAACTTCAGTTGATGTTACTCTTTGTAAATATGGCCTGTAAGATGTTAATGATTTGTTATTTTACTCATTGGTATGTATATTAAAAAATACAATTTGTTCTTTAGGTTACAGGTGAACCTGAAATGATTGGAACAGAAGTTATTTCAGAATTCTTAATTAACAGTGAAGAATCTAAAGTGGTAATTTTTTAAATCTTTTTTTTTTATCTTTTGCCTTTCTAAACTTGTAAGCTGAAAACAAAATTTAAAAGATCAGCTTAATTCCTTTAGCTATTAACATATTCTAGATTTTTTAAGTCTAAATTTGAAATATTAGAGAACTGGAATTTCTCCAAAGAAATCAGTAGAAAAGTAGTAGTTTGTCTTTAAGTTTCCAGAGATGCCTGGTACAAATGTTTCTCCACTTCTTGTGTTAGTATGGCAAATGTACAGGCACTTAGGTGTGCAGATTTGTGTGTTTGTTGAGACAGGATCTCACTGTGTGGCCTTGTCTATCCTGGAACTGGTGTGTAGCCCTGGCTGGCCTGAAACTCAATCCCCTTGACCTCACAGAAATTACCTTCCTCTTTTTCTCTGGAGTGTGGGGATTAAAGGTGTGTGCCCCTATGCTCAGCTCAGTGTTGGTTTGTGGGTTTGTTTTATTAAAAATAGTTTTTTAGGGCTAGGATATTTTTAGTGTGTGCAAGGCCTCGTTTGAGTTCCAATAGTACAAAAGAAAAATATTTTTGAGGATCTAGACATCATTATTCACATATATATGTATATATATGATCTGGCATAGTACTGCATACCTTTAGTCCCAGGACACAGATGGATCTCTTTGAGTTTGAGGCCAGCCTGGTCTACATATAGCAAGTTCTAAAAAAATAACCAAAGCTATACAGTGAGACCCTATCTCAATAACAAAACCCCAAAACAATTACTGAATTTACACATCTTCTTTTAAGGAAGATGCTTTTCTGTACTTAATGACAGGGGAGATATACAACTAAGAAAGTGACTTCCCAGGGCAAGCCTCTCCATTGCACTTGGGATTTGCTGTGACCCTGCAATTTCCCCAAATGGGGGAAACTCTACTGCATAATTTGTGACAGTGCTGGACTGTGTACGAGCCTATCCCTGAAATAAAAATTAAAAGGAAAATAGTTTTCCATAAGAAATGTTGTCATTTTAGAAGTTTAGGTTATGAGTGAATTCTGCAACATTCCAAAATTGAGGTACTGTGCTATTCAAAATCCTATGAAACATAATAAGAATGACTTCAATATTTCCATAGGCAAGACTGAAGCTCTTTCCCCATCACATAGGGGAGCTGCACATTCTGGGAGTTGTGTATAACCTTGGCACTATTCAGGGCTCCGTGACAGTAGATGGCATTGGCGCTCTTCCTGGATGTCACACAGGTAAAGCTATAGCATCGATAAGCAGTCAGAAAAGTTGCTCTTAAACCATCCCATAGAATACAATGAGTGAATGGAGTTTCTTCTTAATAGGTCTAATTCATATTCAGCATGTCCAGCCTTTTGTAGATGATGTTGCCATCTACAAAGTTCTTATTTGAGAACTGTAGTCAAATTACAAAAAATTAGTGTAAATAAAAATGTGCATATTTTAAATATGTTGGCTTATATAATGGCATCTGGACACATGTATAAGCATATGTAATGTAGATTATTCTAACTTCTGGAATAGGTTCAATGGTAAGGGATTTTATTCCCTTGATACTATTTTTGTTCGTGATCCCAATTTATTAAATTCTAACTAAATAAATTTTATTTGTTGAAATGTCTGCTGCTAATACAAAACCACCTTAATATATTTTGTTTTTAATACTTCCTTTCTATAAAACAATACACTGAAGCCGCTGTTTCCTCTGTCTTTAGATAATAAATATTCAAAGCCACCTGTGGCAGTACATGCCAATAATCCCAGCTTCTTTCAAGGCTAAGACAGAAGAATTGCAAAAATAGTCTGAGCAGTTTAGCCAGACAATGTTTCAAAATAAAGTAATAGAACTTGGGCTATTAGTGTAGTTCTCTAGTTGTGCATCTGCCTAGCCTGAGGTTCTAGGTTCAGTCTTAAGTACTGACAAAGAACAAAATAACAGGGGGAAAAAATCCCTTGAAATATAGTTATCTATACCCAAAAGGAGCAGAGTTAGTTTGAAGCTGTTATTCTTGGTGCCCTAAATAGTATTCTCTGCAGACTTTGAAGAAATCTCAAGATACATACATGTACTTCACATGGTTTGGTATGTTCTGTTTGTTTTGTTTTTAAATAATTTGGAGAACTCTACAAGATCCTAATGTTACTTTATAATTAATGTGTACTTGGTTAAGTTTAGGTTGAAAAGATGCTAAGAAGGGAGTTTATAGTAAACTGCTATAGCTCCAGCTATATGCTTAATATTAGTAGATGTATCTTCTAGCAAACTGACGTTCATTTGTTGGGTGTGAATTTACCATTCATAAAAGCTGTTTATTAACAGTGGGAGTCTCCTGGATTACTCGCTGACCTTTGCCTTTGTAGTTAGCATTTCCACTTGGACATACAGGAACTTCAAATAGAAAGAATGAATTAGCAGAAACAAAAAAGCAACAAACACAAATACACAAAAATTGAGAATGGTCTTCTGAGTTTTAGTACTGTATTTCTGCTTCCCGTTTAATGAGGCAGGTAATTTGTAAGTAGTCTTACTTATTCATTACATTTCTAAAGCAGTATGAGTGAGGATTGAGATTATTTTTAACTTTGCTTTCTCACTGGTACTTAACTCTTAATCTGGTACCACAGAATTATTATAGTCCATGAAATATAGCTAACAGGGTGCTAAAACAAGATACATTAAAGCTCATAATTTGTGTCAGTGTGTGACATTGACTGAATTTACATTAAAATAAGCCCTATCTTATAAACAGAGTTTTCATGACATTTTCGTGTAGATACTTTTTATACTGAATGTTCACAGGGCTCTAGGTTCAATACTGTGTGGGAACACTACATTATATCTAATGTGGAACCATCCCAGTGACCAAAGGCCCGCAGCCTTCAGGAAAGATGGAGTTAGACGCCCACTCTAGCCCTTTCACACACGCACCTGTTTTACTTGGGTGAAACCTCACTTAGTTACTGAAGGAGTTAAAAGAAAACTACCTGTATTATAATTTTTATTGTTGTTCTTTTTGAGAAGAGATAGTTCTATAGATTCAAAATATGCTGTTTTTTGTATGAGTAAAAGTAAGAAGCTGACCTGTTTTATGTTTCACTTTAATGTTTTCTCATGGTTCATATCAACACTGGGCCTTTTGGTGAATAAGGATACTGGTTTTTAAAGACTTCTATTCAATGATGAGTAATCTTTATGTAACATAAGCAAATCCAAAAAAATGAGATATTTAAAAGCATACCATACATGATATTAAACATGAATTTAAAGTATACTTACTGTTGTCATTACATGTGTTACTCAGCAATTACCCGGAATTTTTCTAGCATTTATGGAAATTTATAGTATTCATATATTCAAGTTAAGTCATCAAACCTATCATGCTATTTTAAAGTACTGATTTTTTTTAATTTCAGGGAAACAGTCTCTGAGTATGTCAGTCCGTGGGAGACAGGATTTAGAAATTCAGGGCCCTCGACTTAACAACACAAAAGAAGAGAAGACGTCTGTCAAGTATGGCCCTGACCGACGCTTAGACCCTATAGTCACTGAGGAGATGCCATTGCTGGAGGTATAACACTTCTTCCCATGGCATGGCTGCAATGATTTGCAGAGGCAGATGGTGTTCCAAAGAAATTAATTTTAGGTTGAGGTTGTTGATAGTCCATTGATCTGTACTTTTTGTTGTTGTTTTGTTTGTTTTAAGACAGGGTCTCTGTATGTAGTCCTGGCTGGTTTTGAACTCATAGACAGTCTAAGCAGTATACAAGTATGTGGGGATGAATGTATGTGGAAAGTAACCTAGACTCAGAAAACATGACCAATAAAGTCTGTGTATATGTGTATATGTATGAGTGGAGGTGAGGGAGACTATAGACTATGCCCCTAGTAAAGAAACCACGAGAAAAAGGTGTTGAAGAAGGGAAAAGTAAGCAGAAAGGCTGTGTGGGGACATGGAAGAGTACAAGGGGTGGCCAGGGGCATGGGCGAGAGGATGAGAAAATCACAGAAAGGTTTGCTCATAAGTACCATAATGAAATCTAAACTGTATGTGTTAGTTTCTAGTTTCCCTGGTAGGGAAGTTAGTAGGCATGATCACCTTTGTTCAAAAGGTGTTTGCAATATGATCCCAAAATGGTATCTATGTTTTTAGATCTTGTGATCTTAAATATTGTATTGGTAGTTATAAATAGCATCATGTCGAATGTTTGGGTGGTGGTAGTGTTGTGTATTACGATGAAACCATTGTTGAACTGCATGTGCTCTGCTCAGATCTAATAAGTTTAAAGGCCAAGGGGCAAAATTTAGTGGGGAAAAAAGGGAGGGAAGGAGAGAGGATGGATGGATGGATGGATACAGGCCCAAGTGCTATTTTCTTAGATGTTGATAAATATTTTATGCATTTTTAAGATTTATTTATTTTTGTGTGCATTGGTGTTTTGCCTACATGTATGTCTGTGTGAGGGGGCCAGATCCCCTGGAACTGGAATTATAAACAGTTGTGAACTTCCATGTATGTGGGCACTGGGAATTGAACCCAGGTCCTTTGTAATCCATCTCTCCAGCTCTTCTTATGCATATTTTAACTTTGTCTTTATCCATGTTGAGGATTTTTACTAATCTAAAGTTATATTTAGGTTTTTATTTGTTGTTTCTTTGTTCTATACTGACTCTTAGTCAAAACTTTTCAGTTAAATTTTATTGATTGATTGTGATGCTGGGGTTCAAACTCAGGGCCTCACATGTGCTAGATACACATTCTGCCATTGAGCTACCTGTGTCTTTTTTACTGATGTCTGCATGCTTTAAACACTTTTTTTCTTTCCATTTATTTTTGGTTTTCCTTCACATTATTTATTTTGTATGAGTGTATGGATGCATATACTAGAGTATGCTTGTGAGGTCATTGGCAGTGGTTTTCTCTTCCCATGTGAGTTTGAGGGCAGAGCTCCAGCCATTACCTTCAGCTGCTGAATGTCTCCCCACCGAGATTGTCCTGGGACTGCTGGTCTTCCCACTCTGTTTACCTAGTGCCTGGGCATTCTGCCTGTCTTGTTTGTGTTCCTAGTCCTAGTATTTTTAGTAGGGTATAGGATGCTCATTATGCTTGACTATGTACTGATACTCTGAAAATATCCACACGCACACCCTCCCCCCCCTCCCCCATTTGTTGAGATAGTGTCTCATTATGTTACCCATGGTCAGCCTGGAACTTGATATTTAAACGAGACTGTCCTGAGATCAGCCTATTTCTGCCATTTGAGTGTTGGGATTAAAGACATGGGCTACTATGTGTGGCTGTTTATCTGCCATTGTGTGCTACCTATTTGATTTAGTGATAATTTCCTTATTTTGGTGTGTGTCATGTCTTTCACATGGCAAGCCTAATCTCCCTTTACCTATCCTGACTTTAAGTTCTTACAATGCTAATTCATTGATACTGCATAGTTGTAGGTAAGATTAGCACCTAGAAATGAATTGAGGTGGATTGAGTTTAAATGCCATGCTAAGTATGCAAGTTTGAGAAACTAGTCATCTTGTTCTTGTATTTTAAATTGGAAATTTAAAATCTGAGTGGCAAAGTAACATTAGATGTTTGATTCAAAGATAGAGCTATGAAATAACTTGTTCCTTTAGAAAGCAGTCTTTCAGTGTTGCTCATTAGAGGCTCAGAATTTTAACAGTGTAATAATATTTTTTCCCTCCAATGCAGGTGTTCTTTATACATTTTCCTACAGGGCTCCTCTGTGGAGAAATCCGAAAGGCTTATGTAGAATTTGTCAATGTCAGCAAATGCCCTCTGACTGGACTGAAGGTTGTGTCTAAACGGCCAGAGTTCTTCACTTTTGGTGTCAACACTGCTGCTCTAACACCACTGAGCCCTTCCACATCTGAAAACTGCAGTGCTTACAAGACAGTTGTTACAGGTTCTCCCTGCACGGGCACGGCACTT